AAAAAATGCGTGTTGCTGCCCCACAGACTGCATCGATTTCCAATTGTGACCAAAACCATAAGTGCCAGACAGCATGCGCCACCTTCCCTCCATTTTGATGCAAGGCTCTGAGATTTTTTGGCAATAACTGTAGTTGCAGCATTGCATTGCTTTTAGCCGTCCCGATCATACACTATGCTGCACACTAATAGCTTTCATGACAAATGCTTATAATTACGTTGCCAGATTCATCGATACCTGAAAACATCATCAGCAGTATTACCTTTATACATGCATACAGATATGTAAGTAGTTATTACAAACGACTACGAAATCAGGTTTCGACAAAGATAAACTTTAAGCACCACTAACTATCAATCAGTGAATGACCTTGAACGCACCAATCACATGAAGGAGGCATTTTCGGTTGTGGAAAAAATATATTTATGAAAAATGCATAAAACTGCATAGAAACGTTTTATAGGATACTTTTCTCCGACATGTGGTAAAAATATCTCCCAGTTGAGCATAGGAGTATCAACTGGAAGGTTGCACCACATTCTATACATATATTCACCTAAATGACCACATATGACATACTTTTAAGATACATCAGTGGCCCTAATCCTGTTTTTAACCTTCCTAAAAGTCTTCTATAGAACTGATGTGTCCCTGTAATGAGATCCATAAAATCATTAGAACGGTTCATTCTGCGGTGAATATATCCAAAGGATGAAGGGGAGTTACAATCTTTCCACTTATCCACGTGTATGATGATACCTTCTCCTCGCAATAAAGAAGTAATTCTCTCTATTTTCCATGACGCGATATCTCTGCAGTGCTGGTGGCACTGAACTGTTGATAGGGGATTATTTTCTCTGTTTTAGTAGCTACATCTGTCATAGGCTGTTCTTAAAATCCAGTAACTACAAATAAACAAAGTCTGGATTAAGGGTAAGTGGGACCTGGCAAAACATGTTCCTACGAAATATTAAAATCATCAGCCTACCTGCCATGACATTTGGCTGGAATCAAGCTGAATAGAACTTTCAACTAGCATGGGTGAAACTCATTAGGTCATTCAAGGTCATTCGCCAACTGGTGATAAAGTTACGTAGAATGATCCTGAGGAAAACAGCTGGTTAACAAAACTTGTTATGCTAAATTTTCGTGGCATTTCCATATGGTGTGCGTTGGATACTACAAAGTAACCCATCTACTTATATTATGCATGAAAAATACCAAGAAATGTTATGAAATGATACGTTTTAGAAGAGTATATGAGAAAAGGTAGTTACTGACTGAATGTAGTCGTTTCAGCACAAAAATAGTACAATGTATCATACTAGTTATATATGTGTTTGTAGATACGTAAAATAGTACAAGATGTGGTTGCTTGTTTCTAGAAATACTTGCACCAAACCAACTTATTGAAGATTATAGAGAGGAATCAGTAAATTAGTTAAACGCTCTTCGCATAAGCAGTAGAGTTGAGTTAGATGTAATTGATTACACTGAAGACTGGACTGGCTTTCATTTACCAGTCTACCAACAAGAGTTGTTTTTTGAACTACCCAGAGCGGTCGTGTTAATGTTTCTTCTTAGGCTGTGTTTGAACCCAACTGGTGTTTTCACAAGATCTAATTTGAGATAGTAACTGTTTCCAAAGTGTGCAGTATTTCTGTAACAATTTGTCAAAATGCGTTGCATTTCACTCTCCCTAAAAGTAGGGATTCTAAATTGGGTTGTATACACCTGTCAGCATATTCCACCTGTTGGTCAAGCCTTATTATGCCTTTCCTGAGGAATCTCTGAACGCTTTCGATGTTTTCGGTCTGATGACCTTAGGTTACTGTATAGGAGAGCATAATATTGTAGTTTTGGTCGATTACATGTCTTATATATAGATAACCTTGCTTCTTGAGTGTAAAAGTTATGCAGTACAGAGCCAGTAAGTCGTTTGCAGTCAGATACTACTTTATTTGCATGATCAGAAAAGGTTAATCTGAGTATGTTATGCCAAGATCTGTAACTGTGTTCACTTTTGAGAGAAGACTACCGTACATATATAGGCACATTCTCGGTTTCCAGAGTCCAAGGTGGGCTATTCTGCACTTGTCTGCGTTGAAAGTCAGTTACCATTTTTCACTCTGGTCGTCTAGACTGTTTAAGTCATGTTGGATTTTACTTTCAACGCTCATTTCATCGTGCCCGTAATCATATAGTATCTTGAGATCGTCTGCGAAGACGTATGGCTTGCCATACTTGATCACAGAGGCTATGTCATTTATGAATAAGCGGAATGGAATAGGGCCAAGAACGCTTCCTTGTATTACACCACTAGTTATCGGCTTTGGTAAAGACAACTGGTGGTTGATTTTGACTAATTGCTCTCTTCCTGTGAGAAAAGAATTTATCCATATGAGAAGCTTTACAGTTATTCCGTAGGTTTGGAGTTTTGTTAGGAGTATGATATGGGAGCTTTATTACAGGCTTTGCTAACGTCAAGAAATAGTGTAGCTACTGATTGCCCATTATCGATGCATTGTGTAATGTGGTCAAAACAATCTAAGTGAAAAGTAATGCTCGACCTTCTACTTAAGGAACCGCATTGGGATGGGATTGGTTGGTCATCAAGGAGCAAGTACTGAGTGATTTCAGTCTTTACAAGCTTTTCCATTGCACGTGATACTACAGATGTGATGTTGATGGGGCGGCAGTTGTTGGTATCAGCTATGGGTCCGTATTCATGAATAGGTACAGTAAAAGACTTCTTCCTCTCCTTACAGAATACCTTGTTAACATCCTCCAACTACTTCAGCCTTCCCATTTTAGCAATTATTCAACAGTTCACCTGAAACACAAGCCGCTGCAACCAATATGTTAAGAGTGTAGTGCAGCCAGACCACATCGCGCAGACACCAACATGATATTTCGGAAAATTACAGTTTCCATCAATCCAGACAACATGTGACTTATTTTTGTAAAAAAATTAATATAAGCATTTAACAAGACAGTTGTCAACCAGTGTACCGAATCAGTCTAGTCACTGGATCAAATAAACGCACATTGCACCAATTCACCAGAAACCTTAAGGAGATTCAGTCGTGTGCACAAGTTACTTGAAAGTGAGGGATTTATACAAGTAGAATGGGTGTTGGAAACACTTGGTCGGATAAAGGAACTTTCAGGATACCGACAGATGAAGATGATGCTGTGAGTTTCAGAACAGCATCTCACCGACACCACAGATACATGTAGTTTTTCTATGAGTGCTGTCCGAATAGAAACAGAGGGGTTGTAAAGTGTACTGAAAGCATACGGATGTCTGGTAAACTAACCTATACCGCAGCGAAGAAGGGTCTATAGTGATCGCTAAGATGCTAGTTCGGCTAAGACTATCTCCTTCTGTTGTCTGTAGGTCTTGTTCTCCCATTGATTTTTTTAAAACTTGAGATCCCTTAAGATAACACATTAGGCGTTACCTCTACCGGACATGACTTGACTATTGAATGCATTTCGATGGAAGTTTAGTCGCTGATTACTTGTTGAGACCTGGTAGTGAGGCTGACACACCGGCGGTGGTATGTGAAATAATGAGAACTAATGGGACAGAAACGATTCATATGCAGAGAATGAAACGTGATATATGCTAGGCTCTTTTCTGCAAGATATAATGGGAACTGCATAATATTAATCTGGTTGTTGATTGAAGAGTAATGTCAAATATAATATATGGATACTACTAGTACGAATGACCTAAGGTAGGTGTGTAACGGTAGGGAATAAGAGAAGGTACCAAAAGTAAGTTTTCAGAATTATTGGGGTGGGGTGCTCTGTAACCAGTGAGGTCCATCCAGTCAAGTGTGAGGATGGACGTCCACCTACGACATTGGTTGGGGTCGTGCTAAATCACGAATTGGTAGAAGTTAGAATTCATGGGCTGACCATTGAATCGGGTCCCAGTGGCTGAATGGTATACGAGTTTGCCTTTTAACCTGAAGGCTCTGGGTTCGAACCCCAGGGAGTGCGTAGTGCCGATGATTCCCAAACTAGGATGAAACTGCTGTCCAGTACTCTCTGGTTTTCAGTGGTTCTCTAGCTGATATCAATCCTTGATCATCTCGTAAAAACAAAACCAATCGTTACAAACCAACTATAGAGTTCGTTTTCAATAACATAAACGAGTAATCTACTATGAGTCGAAATAGTCGGACTGTTTATAATTGGTAGTGTAAAAGGAGGCTGCTCATTAGATAGATGCAGAAGCGACATCAAATGAACAAGAGTACAAATACGTACATTGTAATCAGGAGTACCAAAAGTGATTTCCACAAATAAGCACTCTCGTTTCGAAAGTAGAGAACTTCGAATATGATTGAAACAAATAAGTATTAAGTAACAGTGACATAACAAAATCCCAGGTTGATGGTTCAAAAGAAAGGAACACTCGCATACCGAAGGGCTGACCGACCAAGAAAACGCACCTGGAAGCCAACCGCTGATATTACTGAAGCATCGAGTTACCATAAGAAGGGAGAAAAAAGGGAGGTCGTTCCATGTGACTCACGGGAGGAATGAAGGCTGTTGTGCCGATTTACGCCCAAACGCCATGATAGACTTGGTGATCAAAAGACCGATAACAAGCCATCCAGTGTGCAAAAGAAAAACGAAAAGGCAACAAGACAAACCATAAAATGCAAATTAACAAATGACAATATTTCGAAATGACCTTACGAGATCACATCACTAAATCTTCCAGTGTTCTCTATAGAACTGTCTACTGAGGAGATAGGCACAATGATGTCAAGACGTTTGGTTCCGGAAAAGCTGTGTTAGGCAGCTGCAGGACGAGGAGTTACAGAAAGTATTCTTTTACAAGGAAAGAAGGTAGTGATTCGTTTAAAACGTGACAAAGCACTGAGTTGTAAGAGTGCCTTCTTAAAAGTGGTGACAGTTATAACCATTTGAAAACAATAAAACTTCTCTGGTGTTCTTTGTAACTTGACTTGATCAGCATTGCAAATATCTTCACTAGTCTTGTTTTCTAAAGTATCACTAGTGTTTGGAAGTTATAAGTATTCTTAACAGTACTCTTTGTTCTTGCAGAGGATGAAGCACCGTTGACTTTCCAATAGAAACCTTATCTGATGATGCGAATGTCTGCACCAATAAACTTCTACTTAACTATTTCTGATAAAAGAATTAAAAGACAACTTCAATGTCTACGTTCAGAAAAAGCAAAATAGACGAACGCGGTTATTTCAAGCGTTTTGATTTGTTGCAATGGCTGGTGCCGTTCGCAAAAAACTTGTTATTGTAGGAGACGGAGCTTGTGGGAAAACTTGCTTACTCATAGTTTTTAGCAAGGACCAGTTCCCTGAAGTGTACGTCCCTACTGTTTTCGAGAACTATGTGGCAGATATCGAAGTGGACAACAAGCAAGTAAGCTGTGAGAATTTTCTTTTAATTAGTAGGTTGAATTAGCTCTTTGGGACACTGCTGGGCAGGAGGACTATGATAGATTACGGCCACTTTCTTATCCTGACACAGATGTCATCCTGATGTGTTTTAGTATCGACACTCCCGACAGCTTAGAAAACATTCCAGAGAAATGGACACCAGAAGTAGGCATCACTGAAATATAAAACATTTTGTAGGTTCGACATTTTTGTAGCAATGTCCCAATTATACTGGTTGGTAACAAGAAGGATTTAAGACACGACGAGGCCACGAAAAATGAACTGCGCAGGATGAAGCAGGAGGCTGTCAGAACAGAGGAAGGCCGTGCGATGGCAGAGCGAATTGGCGCATATGCGTATCTTGAATGTTCAGGTACTGTGTTTAGTTGTAACTAGCCTTTCTCTTAGCTAAGACAAAGGAAGGTGTCCGCGAAGTCTTCGAGACAGCTACTAGAGCTGCTCTGCAATCAAAGAAAACGAAGAAAAGGAGGTGTGATTTGATTTGATTCTCGAACCTTTAAAGAAATGTGGATATGATTCTCTTCCGGTTTCCAAAACTTCCTACATTCCCGAAATTCTGCTTCAGGATCGTAAATTGCTACTTTTTATTAACTGCTTGTTACTTAAACGATCATATTTTGGGTTTATCAACAAGACAATCCATTCCACGGTAATCTTAACGATTTGTTTTTATCTCATTTCTTGATACTATAATTAAGACACCTTAACCAATCAAATTTGTTATCTTTGTTCTTGAACGTACATGCATGTGCTGTTAGATGTAATAAAATGTTTAAAGAACTAAAGGATTATCTCCCTAGTCACTAGGATTTTCATTACTTCAAGTATCAGGTTTATTCTCTGAATCTAATTAACTATGAAGAGAATACTAGAAAACTTCCGGTTGCCCAAATTTATGTTATGATCTCAGCAAGTTTGATTTTGAAATGCTTTTGCTTACTTACACCTTAAGTAAGAATTAGCTTGAATGCTTATTCGTCGGGATGCCTGGATCAATACGGCTCATTTATACGTTTGTGTGGTCTTATGAAATATAACACTGCTAAACCTATGCTGTTCACTCCTACCAGTAGTGTTTTTACTTGTCATTGTGCTTGTATCTTATTGATAAACCCCAATGGAGTTATAGTTGAGATTGCTTGGATAAGTTCTTACAACGAGTTCAACTCAACGTAATTGGAGCTCGTTTGTTAGGTCGAAAACCTGCGTATACCAAAGCAAAGGCTCACCAGTCGATCTTTGTGTAGTAAATATAAAGAAATCGTCGTTTATGAGAGACTTGTAATGTCTGTCTTTTATTATGTGTCTGAAAGGACCATCTTGTTTGTATTGTTGGTAGGTGTTAGTATACTTTGCACCAAGTCATATTGTTCGAGGCATTATATTACTTGACCTTACCAAAGGGTATAAGACATGATGGGACTCTACGACGCCACCTGATTGCTTGAAAGTCAGTTACCTAACCGAACGAGCCACACTGCTGACTCAAAATGTGGATCACTATATAATGAGATTTCTAAGTCATCTGAGTTGTAAATTGAGTAATAGCTACTAGTTTCAGTCTTTAAGTTTCCATTTGCAATTCAAATTTCTTTGGAAAGAAATATGATTTGGTACTTAGCTGACAGGTGGTTTGAATGTTGTCTTCACCTGAATGTAATTTATGCTGTTTGTTGTGCTATGGTTTGTATTTATTAGCGTGCTGTAAAAACATCTGATGGTCTAGGGCTTACAAGAAAGACCAACCTTCAGTATGATGATACTGTCTTGGTATGATAACTTGCAGGCAGAGTAAGCTGCACATAATTAGTTATTGATGAGTGTCTGTATGGAGGGAAACCAGTATCTCTGGAAAATTTGCAAGGCTCGTGCTATTCGTCTTCCTTTCCAAATGGGTCTGGAAACTATGGATTCTTAGCATTATGTGAGGGAGCTTACCAGTAGACTATGTCTTTGTGAGCTGTCAATATGTTTTTCCCTTACGCCCTCAACCTTTTCCTACTTCCGTCGACATCCTTTTCCATAAAGACAATGTTTCCAACCTCTTCAATCAATGAATCGTCGTCGACTCATTTCTTAGCTAGCCTTTCCCGCCTTTTCTCGTTTATCTTATTGTTTCACTTAATGTTGAGATTAATACAAAGTGATGTATACTTCCTGAAATACAATCTATGAAGATATCTGTTTGTTCATTCAAATTTTTCGTAGACTCTTTCGTTAGGCTTTTCTGGTATAATTTCTGGTGCATGTTCTGTGTCTGAATATGATGTCATTTAAATTTGCCATACACTAAGCGCTTAAATTACAGCTGTTAGGACATGGTGTCAAGCTTTGTTCTATTTAATTGCATTCGGAGAACTGCGTAGTCCCGCAAGTCTTCTCAACAGATGTGACTTGACTTGACACAAGGAAAGATCCTCTATCAGGTAACCTGTTTGTGTGAATTGGTCAAATTCCTATTTTGTTCCCCTACTTTATCTTTTTAATTTGTGGTTGCTGCTTTTATGCCTGTATCTCTACAGTTCTCGACTATTTATCCATATGTTCATATGATTTGTGGCAACCCGACTTATTATTCAGTTAGTGTCGGTGTTTTAACTCTATAATTGATTACAAGTACACCTTAATGCTGTACACAAATCAGAAGACTAAAAATATGAGAGCAAAAGCTGTAGGTAAATAAAATATTGGATAATATAGAAGCCTCTATACCACTGTCACCGATTTCGAACCTTTTTCCCTGTTCTGGTTTACCAAGGAAGCCGAAATTCACTTATGTAGTAGGACAACGTAGTTTATTTATTTATTTTCATGTTTGCATCCGATTTCTGAAAAAACTATCACATCTAAGTTGTTTAATACCAAGTGGTCATCGGGCATTTATACGAATAAAGTCTACTTGGTAAATGCTTCAAAAGTATGCAAACCAGAAATCACACATTTGTTCCCGGACTTCGACAAATGACAGATTACGAGGACTCAGGCACAAAAGTCCATTACTTAAATGTCTTCGTTTTCCTTCACTGTAAGTAGTGAGGATAACCATCTATTTAAGGGTCAGTCTGATGCATAATTATGATCTAGTTGTCATTCATATGGTTATGTTAATACATGCAGGGTTTAGGATAATATGATTGGTTCTGTGTTAATCCTTTCAGGAAATCTTGATTTTATCGGCAGTTATTCTGGCCGTATCCTTTTAAATCTTCCACATATAACCTTTGAATTATTGTAAGAAGAGTAAAAAGATTACAAAAGTCAACATTTAAGGTATACAACAGTCAAATCACCCTTCCTCCAGTTGAATGATAGCAGGAGATGTGAAATTCCTTCCCATGTGTTGGATTCATAATGTGTATTCTTGAAAGAGGAAATGCAAGTGTGTATGCAGTATTCAAGATGAAGTTTCACTTATCCTGGATATGAAGTCGTGGTCTGTTTTACCAAAATATTTAATAACTTTGTCAATAGACTTCAGAATTTGGAGTGCTTTGACTGCAGCCGCATTACAGTGTGTTCAATGTCCAGGTTGTGACGGACATCATACCTTAGGTTCTTTTGTTTACAAACATATGTCAATGCATATCCACCTACTTTTAATGAGGAAGAGAGCAATATTGTTGACCGAGGTGCCTTTCTGAATTTTCCTGGGAACTGTTCTTTAACGTTTACATATTTCCGTCTGTGTGGCCACTTATTTTGATTATCAATCTTCAGTGCTTATCATCTGCAAATTTCAAAGAATTCTAGGTATTTCACTAATATACAACAGAGGAGATAGGTATTCTAAGAAAGTGCCCCACTGGACCCCGGCAGTCACCGGTTTCCTCTCCCTACTATCATGTAGGTATTTGTAGACTTTGGTGTTAGTGTCTATGCTTTCGCCTACGAATTTTCTTGGGAACCCTGAGCAAAACGCTCAAGGTTCGTTCGATTGGAGCTTAGATATGAAATCGCTTTTACTTTTTCCAATGAGCCATATTCAGCTATGTGATTCGGTAATGTACCGATAGTGATTTTTTCATACTTATCAGACTTACTAGATCGTAGCTAGATAGAAGTTATCTGTTTTCGCCCTTAAGAACGTGGTATACCATGGTATCTTTCTATCTCTTAGGTAACTGACTTATACGGTAAATACCTCCGTAAGCGCAATGTGAGCTACAACGCATGAAGACCCATAATATAACTGATCAAGGCCCGTCGACTTACTAGGATTCAGGTTAGCGTGCAGTGAACACTACTTCACTATTTGCCGAAGCAAGTGTAAATTGAATGGTCTTGGCAGCTACAATACTTAACATTTACATTTCAGTATCAAACAAAAGCACTGCTCAAGTAGTCCGTTGCATCTTTAGATTTTTCAGTGGGTAGTTCATCTATCCGTTTCTCCTTACCGATGATGGCAAGTATTCCCGTGTTTCTCCCTATCCTTTCTGTCCTGCTAGGACAACTTGGGAATACATTATCTATCTTTCATACTCTGCACGACGTTTCTCAACAAATGTTTTGAGAAAGTTCTGATTGTCATGGTACCGTAGCACAGAGGAGTAATGCTTTCCGTTTTTAAATGATCTCCATAGGTGGCTCCGTTTCTCTGGTTACCTACTCACGAGAGCATCTGAAGTGTAGACCAACCTATAGAAAGACTACTTTCTTGTTTGTTTCCACTTTCATCCCAGGCTTTATCTGCTTTCCGATCAACATCAACTGACCAATCCACTAGGATTGTTGCTTCGCCAATAACCAACGCAGTAGAGCGCCGACTATTCAGTCGAGAGAGGTTTGATCTATAAAATAAGTCTTAGGTACCAATTTATTCATAGTTACCTTGTTGTTGGTTTTTTCATTATTTTAATGTACCAAGATGAAGTCACCACTACGGCTTCATTCTTAGGGTCAAATTATGTAGCGCCTGTACATTTTGACCGGTGTATACCTCAGTGCACTTAGGAACAGCTCATTGTTGAAATAGCTACGTAAACTGACATTTGTAAACAGTTTCTAATGATGTAAATGAGTAATTTGATGCGAGATCTTTGGCTTGACGGTTGCGGTCGTGGTATGTGGTTTTGTTAGTTACTTATTATCTTTGCATGCACGACCTCCGACACTTGATCCTGCGCTTATATGTTGTCGAATCAACAGCACTATCCCACCACCTACACATCTTGATATGTGGGACGTAATGCCAACTCTCATTAATGGCTATGTTTCTGTCACTGACATTGCGTCTATCTGTAAACTTTCACCTTCTCAGATTCAGCTCAGGAATTTAGGTTCTAAGACAGTAAGAATTAGTGAAACATACATTCGTATTGCTAAGAAACTGAGTTCTTGCCAGTATTGGTTGCTGGTATGTAACTGTTGAAACCCCACTTCGTAAGCTGCTTGTCGTTAATCTTAGTTACGCCTTTACACTAGCAATTGAAATATATGTTTGTAGTTACATGTTTTAGCAAATAATGCAAACTGTTCTAGTCTCAGTTTCATTGTTTTCCATTAGATGTCTAGCTGCTTCGGATTAAACTTCTTGAACATTCCATGTGCAGTTAAGCTTCATAAAAATAGACGTTATATTTTCTTCCAAATGTGTGTTTGGCGTTTTAGGATTCTCCAGGAAAACAAAAATGTATGGAGTAACCTTTAACAATGAGTAACAGACTTTCTATTTACGGTCGAAATGAATACCTGTAATAATACGAAAACGAAATGTGACGGTTCCGAATATGTTTTTCTGTACCAAGCGGTGGTAGAGTGTCCTCCAGTCACCCAGGAGGTCCAGTTTCGACTCCTGAAAGTAAGCCAGGAAATAGGGAAGGTACTGCTTGGTGCTAGCAGGCTCACCCTATAAAAAAAACAACACCGCTACTGAAATTATAAAGCTTGGATCAAGGAATGGAAGGCAGTGAACCGCATTTGAGAGATTATGATAATACGCGACCGGTCAGACCGAAGTGGGTGGAGATGGGTTTCAACCCACCGTTTATTTTTTCATTTTTGTATACAGGTAACCTAGTCTTATGGTTAGTGATGGGGATAAAACTGTGATCTTAAGAACAGCCTGAGCAGAATATGGGTAGGTTACTCCTCTGTCTAATGTAAGATTGATGTGTACCAAAATCTATTTCAGGTTTGAAAGCGTAAAAGTCAAACTTGTTGAATAGATCAACTATTTAGGAAGTAGAATTATTCCTTAATGAGTGTTTGGTAATAAGTCAAAATAGCTGGTTCTATACACAGTAATATCGACAAGATACGAGGCTGTCAATTTATGATTTTAAGAAGTGGCTGTTCACGAGACATGGTCGTTGAGGGTAAGACGAATAATGAGCCGACACCTTCGGCAATGTTTCCCAGATAATACGTAGTGTTTGGTCAAGTTTCCTTTTACTAAGACCGCGAACCCATGCATTGAATGGAATTTCTGATCCTAGTTACCATCTCTTTTCAGGTGGATCGCGGAAAAATATTTGAATAAACAGCATCGTCTGTCGTACTTTCATTTATTCTAGATTGTGAACTAAGTGACGAATATATTGTGTCTCATCGATGTGTAATACCACAAAGCTGTTATCCGATTTTTTTATATCAGTACCAAGGCCTTGTGGAAAGTGTTTATTTTCAAAATTGACAAAACTCGCCTAGCATACACATGTATGTGGCATTTATGGGTCATAGCGTATCAATAATCAGTTACAGCTTTGATGGAGTAAATAGCTTTCCCAAGATTTCAGAAAGATAAATTTTAACGAGTTACTGCTATATATATATATATATATATATATATATATATATATATATTCATAATTAAATATCTTCATTTAGGGTTATCTTAGAATTCTTGCTCTGTATATATACCAGTTCAGAAAATGAAAAATGAAATGTCTACTGTCAGACAAATATTGTCACAGGCGTAGACTAACTGACTGATTAGAGCATTATGAGTGATCGATTTGAGTAATCAATAGCTTTTATGAAACATCATGGTTAATAGTCCTTATTCACGAACTTTTCTTTACATCAGATCAATATTTCTTAAAGCAAAACACCTAAGTCGTGACTATTTAAGTCAACTTATCATCTTAGCTAGCCACATACATACAAACAGACGAGACAGATAGAAGGTTTGGAATTATTCTTAGCATTATATTATAGGTCGCTACTCTGAAGAGTTAAATGCTTCTCCTTACATATTTTCCTCTAGATATAATAGAGAAGATTTGTAGCTCAGGTGGATGATTTTGGTGTGGTTGTGTTCTCTGAGCTGGATGGTTTGGTTGCGAAGCTTTCATTGCTCTACTGAGCAACATCGAAGTATGCGCTGAAGATGTTGCTCAGTAGAGCAATGAAAGCTTCGCAACTAAACCATCCAGCTCAGAGAACACAACCACACCAAAATATTTTCCTCTGTATATTTCACTTAAGCTATTCAAGTTCAGCTTTCTGGATATAGTAAGGTTCTCCTGGAAACATGATTACTGCGAGGATTATAAGTCTTGTGAAGTTCAACCTTTGCAGCAAATCTACAGCTAATATTAATCCGTTGTAAAAGTTATCTGTCATCGGATCTCTCACCTCGTCGTAAATCCGAAATTGACATTATTATTAAGCATCGAAAAGTAGGCCTGATAGAATTTATTACTTTTTTTAAAAATAATTAAACAATGTTGGTGTTTCACTCAAAACCTGAACTAAGTATTTTAACTGGATTAGGGCTACAAGTCACCTTGAGCAGTGGGAATAAACTAGTCGAAGTTGTAATGAGACTGGCGTAACTCCATCTCTTTCTCTCCTGTCGAAGAAAACAAATTAGTGATTTGATAATATATTCCATCTTCAATTTCAGAAAGTAAACAATAATGATTTCCCTGAACAGACACTGCGTTGAATTTTTAGAGTAAACCCTTCAGAGGAAATTGTGCAGTGGTTTTATGACTTCCAGAAACCATTTTTAATTGTTTATGTTATATACTTCGTCGGA